AAAGGGCGAGAAATGAGTTGTTACCGATTTTCGTATTATGTTTTTAAATTACTCGCGCGTAAAACTAAAGTTGATGTATAATAGCGTTGTGTAAAGACTTAAATACTGAAAAAAGTTATTGTATAAATTTTATTTAAACATTCTAGCAAGAGAGAAGTTTTAGTCTGAAAGTTTTTTTGAAATGTAGTATTTCAATGTAGAAAGAATTGGCACTTGCTTTGAAAAGAATAGAAGTTAACAATGTACTACTAATGTATGTTTTCAAATGTGTAAAATTAACGGCATGTTGATATGTTCTTATATACAATGTGAACTGTTATTTTAAATGTTAAGAAATACCGTGATATGGTAAAAATGAATGTTAAAATTTTTTTTATTCGTGTGACTGTAAAAAGACTAAAGCATGGCGAATATGTGTTAAAGGTTGAATGATGTAGTTAGGCTCTCTGACGATACACTTTAGAGTTAGACACTTTCAGAATAGTACCTCAGGGTTGAGAGTTGAAATTAGGGTGTGTTAAGAGATCTTGTTATGTTGAATTTTAACACGTTAGTGTTTTGATTGTAGGAGGAAGTGTGGAACACGTAGACAGAAACACATTCGTGTTTGGTGTTCTTTAACAACACATGTCAGAGAGCACGGGGAGAGATAATTAAAATAGTCATGAACGAAATAAGAATGTTAAGAGAAGTATAATTGTATATGTTACTTGCCATTTCATTGTGTAACATTTCATTAAACTAGTTTTCCTTCCAGATCTCTGGAAGGAACCAGAATTGAATGAAAGCTCCTGTTTAGATGCAGTACAGATGAAAAAAAATTGTTGTATATCCTGGGAGCTGCTATTGTAAAAAAAAAAAAAAAAAAAATTCTTTCTTTTAAATTTCTAGTTTTCTAGCGAAGTATGTTTGTAAAAGATTGGCCTCGCGTTAGATTCTAGAGCTAAAAGTTTTTCAACAAGGTCGTTTTAGACCTCAGTTTCAAACTAATTAACTCTGGCGGGAAGTATGTAAGGATCTTAAGTTTTACTAACGTTTATTTTTATTTTAAATCTTTACTATCACTTCTTATTTTCTACTTCCGGCCAGAATTATAAGCGTTAAGGTTTTTATGCAAAGTGTGTCTGGCGAACGCCAAGTATTTAAGTTGTGGCCTTTTGCCAAGCGAGAGAGAGGAAGCAGAGAGTCGAAGCAGACCGCTTACCTTAGAAGTTACGCAGTTGCTTGTTGCCTTCCAGGCCAGAGGTTTTAATCCTCTTGATAAATTTAAACGTATTGTAGTGTTCACAGTCTCTGTACTACATACGCTTCCTGTTAATATAAGGCCAATCTTCCACGTTTATTATTCTAAAGTTAAATTAGAGTTTAGTTTTATTTTTATACTTTTTACGTTAGACCCCAAGTAGCGGGTCAGTGTATTCCGAAGTACGGAAGTTATTGTATATAGAGAAAAATAAAGGGTTTTGGATACCCTTCGTCTGTATCCTGTCTACTTACCACAATTAGTGAACATAGCTTTAGTAAGCTCTCTGTTCCGAGTCAGGTCCTTGTATGTTCCCGAAGAAGGTAAGAAGGAACAATTGACTCTGATAATACGTAGCATAAATTTCCTACTCATTTTCAGTTTATGAATGCATAAGTTTCCATCTTCCTTTTTTAGCAAAAAATTATTAATGAAATCTCCTGCATCATCTTCCCTTTTCTAATGATTTTAGACTATATTTTTCAGGGATACAACTTTACAAATATAACTTTACATGAGAGAATAACTAATTAATGACTTTAAGTACATAAATTTTAAATTCTATTAATGGGTATGCATAGCATTAATTTCTTGCTCATTTTCAGCTTCTGTCTTCTTAAGTTTGCATCTTGCTATTTCAGCAAAAAAATTATTGATTAATCCAAAAACATAAAATATAGGGACAAAAAGATTCTTTATTCCTAATTGTGCACACAAAAACATTATGCGAATATTCATTTGCGATTTTTAAAGCCTGAAAAACACGTCTGTGATGTTCGTAAAATGCGGTGATTTGTAGATGATTTATTTTTAGCAAGATATTTTTTACGACAATGTTTTAAAACTGCGATATTTTCGAACCACTTTATTTTCCACGACGATGTTTTATACCATACGATAGTTTCTCCTTGTTTTCTTTGCTCGAATGATGTATTGTACGACGATGCTTTCGCCTTGCGTTGCTTTTTTTCGCGTCGTTTCCGTTAGCGATATTTTCGACAGACACCTATTTATCAGGCAGTTTGCTATCATAAGTCCTTCACCCCAATAATTGAGCGAAAATTAGAGCTTTTTAGCATCGTGCTTTTAATCTCGAATAATGTGCGTTTTTTTTTTTTTTTTTTTTTTTTTTTTTTTTTTTTTTTTTTTTTTTTTTTTTTTTTTTTTTTTTTTTTTTTTTTTTCATTCATTCAGTGAAGAGAATAAGGCACAGTTCCATTTTCTTTTAGCAAATTTTCAGAGTCATTGCTTACATATTCTCCATTTCGATCTAACCTTAGTCGTGTAGGTGCTTTCCCAAATTGTGTTAAAACATGTTTGACGAAGTATACGATACATTGTTTAGCTTCTTCTATACCCTTTAGAATGTAAACTATAGTGTATCTAATATAATCATCAGTTACTCTTAAATATATCTTACAGCACTTAGAGTTACATTGGTCAACTAAAGATCTGCAGGTACTAATTTGAGTATTTCAAAGGTTTGCGATTTGGATTATTTAATTATGGCAAAGCACACGAGGTCTATCTGCCTAAAGGGAGGGATGCCTTCGTGGAGGACTTTCTAAGGAAAACTGGCTCGTATACACGTTACACATGGGGAAAACTACGGAAACGCCCATGTTCGCGGGATTCGAACCTCGGACCGAACTACCAGTGTTCAGCGTCTTTACCGCTTGGCCGCTGGTGGGCCGAAGTTTTGCGAAGTAGACTTTTTGCAAATTGTTTCTGTACTTGCTTTGGTAGCAACGCAATTCTCGTAGTTCAGTACACTGGAACAGGGGCCAATATTCATATCTTGAACCATAAATTCATTACACATCTATAAAATATCTGCAGGATTTCTATGATCTAATTTTATATCCCCGTCAGGAATGCATTCTTCATGAATTTGCTTCGTACGAAGAGTCTGTTCATTTTCCTTAAGAACCTATGTACCTATGTATGAAGAACCTTTGATGTAACCTAAAACTATATTATATTATTATTTTCGACAATACGTCATCGCACTCCAAAGTCGATACACCAATAACCATGTAAATTATTTGCAATTGTAAAGCTATGACGATTAGAAACTGATTTTGCTTCATTAATGGCACTTAAATTCATAGCTGCATTGATTTGTTGCTTTTGATGAAGTTTCCACTTCGCATTTACTTCACTTAATTTCTCGCAAAAAAGCAAGTAAATGTTACATTTTCGTCAGCTGGAGTGTTACGCGTGGAAAACATTTATGATTTTAAAGCTTTCTTCTCGTTTTCTGTACCAGATTCTTTAGTTTTATTTCGATGAGTATACTCTTCCATCAATGTATTCTTAACTAATTTTAGAGTTAAATTTGCTTCTGGTCTTGTTTCTAAAGCTGTCATTAATGTAGCATGATTCATAAGTTACTTAAAATAAATGCAACGAATAAAGGTTCTGAAATTTTCTCACCTAGCGTTAAATGTTGATCAGCAATAGCTTTCATTTTCATTAGGTGATCGCTCATTTGTTCTTTATTATTTTATTTGTTATTTGTTCTTTATCGTTTTATTCCTATACTGCAAATTGCACAGCTTTATCAAAAGTCAAACTTTTAGAGATCGTGTTGATTTTACATAGTACTAAGTATTCCGTGTTGTGGAAAAAGTAATACCCAGGAAATCCGAAAATTACTTGCCGGGGAGCAACTTGGTGACAGAAAAACCATCCGAATTCGTCTCATAAAGAGGTGTGGCGAAAAACACAATATATCCGACTCATTGTTATTGAAGTTTTACCTCAGTAAATGCCGCCAAATGTCCAACTTATCCTAGCAACTGTTTAAATCTTTGAAAGTCGCCAACATTGAGGATCGGATATTAGAAATCACGTCTGCTAAGGTAAGAGCACTTTCTTCTCCTGTATCAATCAATGTGTCTAATAATTCTAAATTGGATTCCGTGCTGGATAAAGTGTGTAAATTACGTGGTGAGATCTTGTTTCTACGACGATCACGCAGTGTTTATAAAAACCGCTTTAGCAGAAACCGAACCTACTTCGAACCAGCTTTCATCTAAACCTGCTTCGAATTCTTATTGCTGGCACCATCGAATGAGAAAGCTAAAAAATATATTCCTCCATGTTCGTTCCATGGAAACGAAAAACGCAATGGCGACTTACGCTTTGCCCTCTGTGTCTCATCAACCTTTTTTAAGAGATATAAAATTAAATAAAAATCTCTTTGCGCAACACTAGCTTAGTTGTCAGTCTCCTCTCAGCAACTAAAGGAAAAACACGTCAGACACCTATTCTGATGTTTTTGCTGCCATCGGTACTCTAGTTCCAGTTTATGGACAAAATACTTAGTCTTCACTTTAAGCATTTTTGTCCATAAACTGGGTATTAAGTAACTGAGTAATTACTGGGTAAGTAACTGGTAAATTAAACCATAAACTGAGTTTTAAGTAAATTTAAAATTTACTTTTATGTAAATTTACTTTTACTATTCTTTTATGCATAAAAGTAAATTTTAAATTTACTTTTTATGCATAGATATATAGTGTCAGCGAATATTGTTGGAACTGATTTTCTGATGGTTTTGATTTACTACCTGAATTAAGGAATACAAAACTAGCTGATGTAAAAACTAAGTTAAATTTAATTATAATATCATTAACACACACTTGTATTCCATCAAAACAAGTATTGTAAATAGTGTATATGGTAAATTTGTCTAACTATCCTTCATTGTCAGAGCTTCCTAATCTTCATGGAAACATTAAGCGTAATACCAATGCACATCATTGAAGCAGTAAGTCCTCCTGTGTCATGTAAACCTGGGAGATTATCTTCGAAGAGATTAAAAATTGTTAAAGGTAAAATCCAAAAAGTGATCCATTTAGGTCACACATGACCCTCTTGAAAAGTAATTACTCCTGTTCTCTACATGTGGAGTCAAAGAATGGCATTAACAAATGGAGACCTGTGGGGAGGATTTTCGTAGCTTTCGTAGGCACAGACAATGAAGATTAAGTGCTCTATTCCCAACACTTGCGGTTTTGCAGCAGAGTTGCATGGTATTTTCTCGTATAGAATTGGTAAAAGCCTAATATCAAATTCCAATTAATCCTTCTGATGTTCACAAAACGGCCGTTGCAGCTCCTTCGGGACATTTTGAGAGCACAAGAATGCAGATTGGGCTATGCAACGCTGTTGCACTCTTTCAGAGGTTCAATGCTGAAATACCTCGTGAGCTATCAGGGGGTATTTACTTTTGCTGATAATATATTAATTGCATCAAAGAACGAAACTGAGAATTTGGCATACTGAAAGTTCTTTTCGAAAGATTAAGTATTATGGGTTAACAATTATTAATACATTTAAATGCATCTTTGGGGTAACATCTTTGGAGTTTCGCGTATCTGAATAAGGTTTAAAACCTTTATCCCGCGGAAGGGAAGTCATTCACAATTTCCTCAAACCGAACATTTTAACGCAGTTAAGAAAACATTTCTCGGCAATTTATACTTCTACAGACATTTTGTCCCAACAGCTTACGTATTTTAGCTTCCTTAAATAGGTCGGGAGGTAGCATTAATGAAAAGAAACCTGCATAGCCGAGTATAATAAAAGAACAATCCTCTCCAATGGGACTATGTAGCTGAGAAAGCATTTACCAGCGCTAACAAGGCAATCGCCAAGGCTACCCTTCTCAGACACCCAGTTCCTGGTCCTACTTTGAAACTACATCAATGCACCGGACGTTTCGTTTGGTAGTTCATTAATACAATTGCATAATTCAGTTTGGGGATCCACTGAGTTCTTATCCGTTAAAATCAGCAAACTTAAAAAAATAGTCAACCTATAATCGAGAACTACCGTTTATATTTCTAAATCAAATTTCGACGAATGTTCGAATACCGGGCCTTTATAATTTACACAGAACAAAAGCTCCTAATGTCAGGCAGACGGTGTAGTGTTTATGGGAGCCTACTACGGTACCGAAGGGCCCGGGTTTGAATCCCAGAGAAGACATGGAGGTTTGTAAATGTATAGTGTCGGTGAGGCATGGCGGCCCTCTAAATATGCGGCGAGCCGAAAGTCCACTCGTGTGGATTGTGGAAGGGGAGGAGTGTGGGAAACCCCCGGATCCCCCCGGGGATGCTCTTCCTCAAAATTGGGGCTGGAAAATAGAAGTCCAACCTCTCTTTGGAGGAGGCTCTGGCAACCATTGTTCCATGTTATATGGACACGACAACAGCAACAAAAGCCTCTATTATATGTTTTAATCAAAAGTCTGATAAATGTACTCCAAGACAAATTCGCTATCTTGATTTTATTTACCAGGTTTTCACAAATACACGATGAAGGGAAGGTCGTGACAACATTGTTTTTCAAATCTTATCCAAGGTAGAAATAGATGCAGTTTCTGATAATCAAAATATTGATTACAAAAAGTTCTGAAGTACAACTTCAGGACTCGGAAATTTTAAATTCTCTCTCTCAGTCTTTACGAGGCTTTAAACTACAAAAACATTATTTTCGCTTAGAAGATACTACATCTTTACTGTGATATGGACACAGGTACACTCCTCCGTTTAGTTCTAAATATTTTCCTCTAAACGCTTTCAGCAGGTTCACTACCTTTCTCATCGCGGCATCATTTCAACCTCAACAAAACTAATCACTAGGTGATATTTTTGGCATTACATGAAGAAATTTGATAAAACTGCCCGTTCAATCTTACCTGCAATCCAACATTCTAAAATTCATAGATATTTAATAATTTCATAGGTCTTCTTTTACTGTCTGAGGATAAATGTGATTACATGATAATTATTGTTAGCTTCACCAAATGGCCAGAAATTATTTCTACTGGTGATATGTCTGCTCAGACTACCGGTAAAGTGTTAGTAAACAGCTAGACAATTGGACAGCTAGATTTGGCTGCCCCGTATCAATGGTAACGGATCAAGGCCGAAATTTCGAATCTCATTCATTTGATGAAGACTTTGGGTACACATCGCATTCGAACTGCTGCTTACTATCGTCAGTCGAAAGGGCTAATTGAAAGATTTCATAGGCAGCTTAAAAATAAATTTCTTAAATTTTTAATTATTTAAATTCTGCCAATAGTTTGTAGGGTATAATATCTACCGATAAAAACATTACATGTGTCAAACTTGTTTATTGTACCACTTTAGATTACCCTCAGATATCCTAAATGTTACTAATTTCGATTACAGCCGAAAACATCGCAGACGAAAACGTCGCAGAGAAAACAACGCAGTGCCAAAACGTCGTGCTACAAAATACCATGGGAGAAAACATTGCAGTTCTAAAACATCGTGGTACTAAACATCGTCGTCGAAAATAAAGCGGTTCAGAAACTTCGCAGTTTAAAAACATCGTCGTCGAAAATATCGTGTTAAAAATAAAGTACCTACAAATCATCGCATGACGATAACATCGCAGACAGGTTTTTTTTCAGGTTTTAATAACTGTAAATGGATATTCCCATAATTAAAAAATAAAAAAAATTGTATCACATAACTGTTTTTAATTACTTGCATTAAATGTGATACGTTTTATACTGATGAGATTGTGAAAGTCATAGTTGTTTTTCAAATAAGATTTAATATATCTCATTTAAGACTAACTCATTATACAAGACTACTCATTAACTAAACTAACATACTCTCATTAAAGACTTTACAAAATTTATGAACTTAATTTTGCGTACTGATAAAGTAAAATTAAATAAGATTGATAGTACACGATGCTTTGAAATAAATAAGGTAAAATTAAACAAGATCTGATAATTTTTTTTTAATTTAATGAACGTTTTCAGGCAGTGATTTTCAAAACTATAATAACATTACAAAACGATTATTTATTTGATTATATCATCATTAAAATATTAACATTAAAGTGGATTATTTATTTTAGTAATTTATAAAATTCGGAGCATGAAATTTTCTGGGTGTAATGAAGGGAGAAAAAAGATAAAATAAAATCTAGAAGCACTCAGATTTTATATTACGCCCAAAAGGCTCAGATTTTATATTACGCCTTTTCTTAACGTTTTGTGTGTTACCTATATTTATTGAATATCATGTTCTTCCCCGTAAACCACATACATTTGAAAACTGCATATCCTTAGAATTTCCGCACTGGAGATAAAAATGTTATTTTCCGTACAGTGCTAAGATTACTCGCTTTGAACCCGTTGAGTTTGTTAAACAAAAATTCGTTAAACGTTTACAAAATATGAAATAGATTAAAAAAATTTGAATTTCGGCCGTCTAGATGCCCATGTTCGGGTGAAGGATTGCATTATTCAAAATTTGATGGTTCTAGATACCGTCGTTTTTTGTCACATTGCGAGAAATATACATATATTCATGCAGATTCTTCATTATTTAATTTCTTTAAATATAATACAGAGAGATAATATTTGGTAAAAACAATTTGCAAGGAGACACGGAAATTTATAGTGAAACAGCGCAAAATGTCGCTTCCAGCTAATAAATTAAATTAACAGTAAATAAAAAAAATCTTATGCAGAACTAAAATTTAAAGAATAATCACTATAAAATACAAGCAAAATTAATTATTACGGTTAAATACAATTTTAATATTAGAATTTAATGTATAAAAATTAAGGAGTGAGAAGTGTTTATCACTATGATGTATTATGAAATATAATTGAAATAAAATTTCTTAATAGAAATTGTGCTATAATACTCATCTATAATTTTAAAAAGCAGCAAAATTTAGAATTTTTTACAAAACTTTCAAAATTTCGTTTTTAAATATTTTAGTATTTTTATTTATTTACACCAATAAAAAGCATAAAAATTGCAAGAGAAAATTGGTTGTTTGAAATTTTCTATTAGTTCAGATTTAAAACATTATTTTCTAAAAGAAGCAGTTACAAATTTCCTTACAGCATAGGAAAAGCTAAAAAAATATCCAGCCCTGAAAGCAGGCAATAGCTTTATAATTATTTGGAACGCTGATTATGCTTGATAAATATGCTAAATTTTTAAAAATCAATGTCAGTTTCAAAAATAAAAAATATAGAGAAATTCTAATCTGTGAAATGAGGCGCTACAACCAGCTTTTTTCTTGACAATTATACACGCTGCAATAGGCAACCAATGTAAAATTTCTGCAAGTCGTCCCTACTCCTCCGGATGTGATCAAGGTGACAGGCGGGAACGCGTCAGACGAGGGAGAAAACCCATTTGGGTTGGTTTATTTCTTATAAGGTCTATGACAGGAATAATCTGACGTCGCTAATGTTCCATCTGCTCTGACTTCGCATCAAAACTAGCAATGTCGACATCTCAAATTAATTTTAATCACATATTATGTTTTCTAGTAAAGCAATGTCAAAGTCAAATTGGCGGCCCTCGAAGTAATTTTGTGCTGCCTGCGAATACATTTCTTGTAAATTAATTAACATTTTTGTGACAAGAATTTGAAGGAAAAGTTTAAGATTTCGATGGTGTCTGGAGTCCAGTTTTACATCATATTCATTACCCAAAATAAACGTAACTCTTCGTAAAATCTGGAAATAGAGCTAATTAATTTAGATTGTGATATAAATCTTGTTCAAAGATTTTAAGTTACAAATCTGATTAACTTTTATTAGTACTGCCAAAAGATAAATATCATAAGTGACGAATTTTTGCAATAGGAATACTCGCTTTGTTTTTGAGTACATTTATATGAGAACAGTTGTTTTCCTAGTTGAATATTAATAAGTCTACGAAAAGAAACTAGACTGCCGATGAGTATCTATAATTTGTGAAGATACTTCTTAGTAATGTTCCTCCAAGATTACAAACTTCATGAAAATCGAAGCGTCACGTGGTGGTTTTTACTACCCCTGAAAAGGGTAGTAAACACCAAAGATATTTACAATAATTTATATGGAAATATTATTTTTCCTGTTTTTCGTCGTAGAAAAATCTAATAAATAAAAGAAAGAGTCTAAGTTGCCATTATTTATTATCAAGATTTATCCTTCTTGGGAAGCTTTATTATCTTTTTAGTTTAAATTAAAAGTAAGTTACTTAGTAGTTCAATATATTACTATTAGTTGAATAAATGCCAGTCTGAAAATTTTAATATTTAGCTGTCTGTTTGAATTCTAAATTGTGACTAACAGAAATTTCTTGCAGATACCAACTTTTAGATTTCAAGCAAATTATAAATATAAATTTAATATTTTCTTTATGTTATTTTTATTCGTATGTTTTTATAAATATCTAGCAAAAAGTTTTTAATTTAATAAATAAATTTTATTTGGTTAAAAAAATTAATCCCGCTTTTTTTTTAGGGGTGGGTATAATTGCTGCCCATCAGCTACTTTCAAATTGTACACTGGCCCGTGTGCACATATTGCTCCGGTGGCTTCGTGCGTTTGCATACTACCTTTGATACGCACGTTGCATAGCAGCGGTCAACGAACACTTTGCATATTCTAAAACACGAAACTGCTTTCTATTGTATACTTACCATTTGAGAATCAAATCCATACCTGCAACATTACGAGTCAGTTTCAAAGAATTTTGCACGGGCAAATTTAAAAATTTAATTTTCTTTCATAAAGAAGTAATCTATAAATAGTACGTTTCAGACCACTTTTGAGACAAGTATCGTTTATAAAATATGTCTTCTTGTGCTGTAGCAAAATGCCATATTATTCATGGAAATGAGAAAGATAGTGACTCTGTAATTCATATTTTTGCAAAGGACAATTTGCTTTTGACGAAACAAATGGATACTTGTGTCAAAAACGCTATTCTATTAATTTGAACAACGCAAGAATTTGCAGCGAACATTTTCTGTGTATGAAGATGACACAAAAAATTGCTTGCTTGGTTTGTGATTATCTCGTTTGGACTATCATACCGAAGGGCCCAGGCTCGAATCCCGGTGAAGGCATAGATGTTTGTGAATGTACAGTGTCTTTGCAGCATGAGGACACGCTAAATATATGACGAAAATGCTATCGTGTGGTTTCGTGGCAGGGAAGACCCTCGCACCATCCCCGGCGTGTTCTTCCTCAAACCTGTGGTGTAAGTAAAAGACCAACCTCCTTCAGACTCTGGAAACCATTCTTCCATGAATTCATGGACAAGACAACAACAACAATTAACATTACTGGTTAATTACCCTACAGCTGGTCTTTTATGATAACTACTTTAAGTGGCTGGCCGCGAAAGCGGGGAGTAAAATAAATTTATCAGTAGTTAGCTGAGTAATAAATGTAGTTAGTAGTTAGAAGTTAGATGAGTAAATAAATTTATCAGTAACTGATAAATTTATTAGTAAAATTTATCAGTTTATTAGCTTTTATTTACAGTACTTAATTTCTAATTGTCATTCCTTGGAAAAAACTTGAAAAAAGCAAAATATTTCAGAAGGAAATACACTTTACGAATTTACTTCATAAACCAGAGAATTTGCATTTCTGTTCGATGCCATACTGACATGAATTGCTGTTCATAGCATAAAGCATTTATATGAGCTATGAGCATCATCAGAATGTGGAAGTTAAAAATAAGAGACTTTGGATACGTATATCAGGTGACCCAAGATAAATCGAAACGGGCATGGGATACTTCACTCGCTTTGGGCTTGGTTTATTTTGAGCCACCGGATATATCAGCATCACGGATACATATTATATTCCTATATGTCACTTTTTCGAATATTTCTATTTTGATTTTAGAAGATATCTGAGTTTCCGTTCAAATATCTTATTTGGTGTTATAAATAACAGCTTTTAATTTTGAACTATTGCAATCTTATACTAAATGATAATGAAAAGACAGGTCCTTTTTATCAGTTCAGCCACAAACAGACTATATTAAAATCCGATTAGGTAATATAAAGTAGATATGAAATCCTGCCCAACTGGAATACATTTATTTAAAATGTTTAGGATCACTGACTCACTTATAGAGTTTTAATTTTGCTATGCTATAGAATTTTCAGTTGACTTCATTATTTGCCCCTAACCACTGGATGGTACATCTTTGTATTAGCATACATGGTTATTAAAAATGTTTCATCGTATTATGGTATAATATAAATTCCTACTTATCGATTACTTCTTTATGAAAGAAAATTAAATGTTTAAATTTGCACGTGCAAAATTCTTTGAAACTGACACGTAATGTTGCAGATATGGATTTGATTCTCAAATGGTGAGTATACAGTAGAAAGTAGTTTCGTGTTATAGAATATGCAAAGTGTTCGTCAACCGCTGCTATGCAACGTGCGTATCAAAGGTAGTATGCAAATGCACGAAGCCACCGGAACAATCTGTGATGGTATCCACAGTTCTGCACGTAGTCCGCAAAACTGTCGTTACAATGCAATATGACGATTTTGCCTCTTGCCTAATTTTCAGTGACAAAACGACGTTTCATATGCAAGGAATGGTAAACTGTCTCAGTCTTTGGATATGGAACATGAAAATTTGTTATGCTGCCGTTGAAGAAAAACTGCATTCACAAATTTAAACGACGTTTGTGCCAATTCACAGACAAAGGTGTAAGGATATCTTTATTCCTTCTAGAGAATTTTCACAGTTATGGTGTATCTTTACATGTTGCAGTTACGGTTACTTTATCCAATAAAAAGGAACTCCGAAATTTTCACACTTCAGCAACGGGGCGGCTCCACCTCTGAGCATTGCAAAGACACTATGAAATCTGGAATGAGGAGCGCTCAGACATGAGGCTAGCATTATTTATGGCCTTAAAAGTTTCCAAACCTTACGCCCGATGATGTTTTCTGTGGGAGTATGTTGAAAACACTGTGTATGTGCCCTCACTTCTAGTAGCAGTAGAGAAACTCCAGGATAAAGCTAATTTGGTGATCATCAGTGCAGAAATGGTAAAACGCATATGGGCAGACTCGGATTACGCTTGTATGTGTGTCGTGTAACAAGAGAAGCACACATCGAACATTTATTATGTTATCAGAAAAGATTAAAATATTTTTACTTCTTTCATTTAACACTACTAATTTTATTTACAGTACTTGTTAGACACAGAGTTCTGAAACCTGATAAATCATTTATAACAACGCAGTAAATTAAAGACTATTTAACATTTCATTGTAGTTAAACGTAAAAGGTTTAAAGTAGAATTTAGCAACTTGTTTTCTCATAAATTCACAGACGAAGCACACTTAGACTTGCTCTCTGATAAATGCATTTTAATTTTTGACACTTTAAGAAGAACCATTTACTGAACACAAACTGTTTTAAAATTTTATCACAAAGTTTTATGAATTGTAGATGTAGGACAATCGAACGCCGCTGTACCGAACTTCAAGGGCCAAGAAATTTAGTTCACTATATCTTATTTGAATAATTCTTTCCTACTTAAAGAAAAATGGATTAGTTCATGCAAACATATAAAATCTGAATGAAGAATAAAGAAAAAACTGATTAACATTGTCATATCTATGGAAAGAAATCTACGAATATCAAATCTAATTTTAAGAAATCTTATTAAGATTTAACTGCAAGTACTATTACACGCAGTTGTTAAATTGTTCATCTTCAGTCTCTCTCAGATGTCTGGCAAATTTATTTGCCTTTATCTGAAACATTTGTCCAGATAATTAGCAGATTAAGACTTCTTTGAACGTCGAACCGTTTCAGAAATGTTTTTTAAACACATCTTTGCTCCACTTTTCTGATTCTGTTTCTGACAGATATCTGTTTGACTGCTTTTATTTTGTATTTTTGAATTAATGTTCGCTTTATCTTCAATGGAGAAACTTTAGATTTACAGCGCGCCTTGCGGTTAAGTTTTTGGCAAAGAAGCAGAGGGCGGACAGTTTGGCAGAAGAATAGGTGAGAGTTTTGATCTTTTGGGGAAAATGAAAAAGTAAAGATAATTCCCTTCGTGTTTTATTCAAATGCCCATTGAGAACACAATCATTTCTCCCTAGATATGTATGGTTGAGACACATGAATTTAATAATTTTTATAAAAAAACAGGCAGACCTAAAGAATGTTAAGCGCCTATTGAGGATGGAATTTAAATGACATCTGTATTCAAATAAAACAAACCGATAAGAATCAAAACATTCTCTAAGAGAAAAATAGACTAAAAACCGCAAACTCACAGGATTCGTTATCTGATTCCATCATAGCAGCAGCCTTGAATAAAGATCTGTCTGGCAGCTCAAATAATGAATCTAAATGGATTTAAAGAACCCACTAATGTTTTCGTTAGGTTCAATTGTCAAGTACATCATATGGTTCCCTAATATATGCTTATTACATGCTTGTGTCACACTTGCCTCTCATAGCCATTATCTAGAAGAACACAGAAAAAAGGTGGCATGAAGATGACAGGAAAATAGGATAAAAGTACTTTTTTTTTACGAATGTAATCCTAATATCCTAAATATGAATGATTTTTATGGTTAATAATTTTTTTCCGTTAAAACATGCAGGAATTCTGGGGAAAATATGAAAAATACAAAAAACGTTTGGCTCATACATATTCATACAGTTCTTTATATCCGAGTTTCATACTCTTAGAGATTCACTATATCAGTTAAAATAACATTATGTGCATAGAAAACTGGAAGGGACCAAACCTTTGTTTGTTACTTCTGAAAGCTCGTTAAAGTGTTGTTCGACTGTACTTCTTTTGCAACAACTGTACTTACTTTACTGTCCTTTTTTCCTAATAATATAATCAAGTTTTGAGTTTCATTTGTTTGATTTTCAGTTTGAAGCAATCACCAAAATCCATTTATCTATACAAACATTTTTTTAAAATCTTCAGATCGGCTTCTGTTAAAATCTGGTATTTGTAATAAAAATTATTTTTGCCCTGCTAAATGGAAAAAATTATTAAAACATTAATTAATTGTTGTGAGATTGCTAATGTTTTCTTCCTTATTTTAGGCCGACGGCTGAATGGACATGATCTACTCGATTTCTATCCATCTCATGAACATGTCAACAGTCATCTGCGTGTTACTGCAGCAACATTGTGGATTCAACTTCGATATTCACCACACCTTCCTAGAGAGAACAGGACTCAGCTTCAAAATCAGTCTGTGACGTTATACGTTTTTCGAGTTGGTAATAGTACTGATCAGATGCATCATCTAACTTCATACAGGCATTATAATATCACTCCAGGATGGCGTCGTTTGGAAGTAGGTGATGCTGTCAAGCAGTGGTTTTCCGCTGGTGCTAATCGGGATAAATTAACTCTACTTGTCGACTGCACTGGTTGTGACTCCAAACTTGAAATTATTTTATTCCCTGATTCCAACGACATTACAGCAAATGGTAAAGCTCGGAAAATACGTCATGGTGGGCATGAGCAACAATTGCGAAGTTTACGACCCTTTCTAGCGATTGCAACAGAAACTACCGAACAAAGAAGGCGACCAAAGCGTCATTCAAGGACTTGTAAAGGTCATTGTTGCCGTCAGAATCTCTATGTGAGTTTTGAAGATTTAGGATGGAGTGACTGGATTATAGCACCCAAAGGGTACTACGCTAATTTTTGCATGGGAAATTGTAAGGGACCAAGATCATATGACTCTTTTCCTACATTCCACACTCATGTTATTGAGGAATATCGAAGTCGAAATCCGTATGCTTCCATCCACCCATGCTGTGCTCCTACAAGATTATCTCCTATGTCACTTATATATTTTGATCCTGATTTAAATATAATAAAGACTGACTTACCAAAAATGATAGTAGAAGACTGCGGCTGCACTTAAATTCTTCTTCTCATGCATCTTTCCTTTGATGAAGGTGGTTGGAGTACTTCCTGAAGCGGGTCTTCGGATGACGCCTGTTCTAAATCTTAGTCACTGCCAATGGTGCGAACGATCCAACGTTCTGCTCATCTCTTCAAGCATTCCTTACATCGTTGGTGATAACTCTAAACGGGAAAACTTTCTCAAAGAAGCAGAAACTAACGTGATGAAAATGAGCTTTTTTAATAGCCTTGAATACCTTGTTTTGTGTTTTTTAACGATGTGCTGAATGCATTTGTATATAATAAGTTCACACTAGAGCAGTGAACTTCGAGAGATTCAATGCTATCATACAATTTTACGCATTTCAGTTGCTTTACAGGAAGTTTATGTTTGGCATGCATATAATTTGGTAGCATTCAATTTTTATTACCAAAGTGTATGCCAAAAAAATGAACATCCTGCCTCTAAATCGCGCATTTCTTCAGTGTCTTTAAAAAAGGATTTCTATGCTACTATTTTGACTCTGATCAGATAGCTTTATCCTCATTAAAATATTTCACATTGTAAAAAGCAACAAGATTTTGGTTATTGGCAGAAATAGTTCCTCATGCTTAAAGCATAAACTTAATAAAATATTTAAACTTTTTTAAATGTTTAAGTACTGAAGGATGGTTTACTGCAAAACTGAATAAATCGGTAAAAAGGAAAAGCCTTAAAATAGAAAATAAGGAGTAAAACCGAAAACTGCATATAATTTAATAGTACTACATTCTTCAGATTTAGTTCTTTAATAGTCATTAAGTCCTCAATCCAGATTAATCATTCGGATGAAGAGTTAAAATTTAATACTAAAAATAACACCATTAATATTTACTAACATTTTATTTGTAGATATATTATCTCTAGCTCATAATGTGCATCTTTGGACTAAAGTATATGTTGCACCCATAAGGAATGCCGAGATTCTCTAAAACCTGAGGCTTACAGCAGAGAATTTAATAATAAACAACTCTAAAATCTAGGTAAATTTAATTTGGTTAATACTGAAATAAATTGCAGAAATACAAATCCAGTTTATATAAACACATCATATTATGTAGAAAGTTATATGGCATAGCTTAAATCTGTAGAAGTTTCTTCTTGAACGACGATGTTTGCTGATTATAGGCTAAACTGCCATTGACATTTCATTACGTTTAAAGTAAATCATGGCAGAATAAATTTTTTGTAGAAATACGTAAGTGATATAAGGAGAATAACATGGAAAACTGGAAGTAAATTTCAACAACATGTCGTTGAAACTTGTTCGTTTCTGATATTTTCTTGACAGAGTCTTTTCATTCACAAAATAACGTCGTTTTTAACCTCTTCTTCCCAATTGCATGAACATATCGTCATACTAAGCATTAGCTTTGTTCTTCAATCGTTAAAGCTTTCAAGCAAAATTACATTTTACATCCTAATATTTGGAAATATTGTGACGAGCCATTCGACAGCAGTATATGGACTGGGTCGTGAACCAAGTTGTGTCTAAGCTTAATCCATTTGTCATCAGCTCCAAGACAGAAATAAATTGTTGTTGAAAATGATAACGAAGAACTGTAAAATGCTCGAATCCTGAGCATTCCAAATGACAGCGAATCCACCTTATGCTAAAGCGATTTGCGTTTGCCTGTCAATACCGCAAATCTGGCATGTGCATTTCGTTTGGAACTAGGATGTATAGAATAGTTGTAAATGTTTTAGTCTTAGGTTTTGATCTAATTAGTGTCATATTAAAGAACGGTAGTCAAGCGAGTGATCAACTATAAGTGATGATAGTACATTGTTAAAGGAGCGTACTGAAGTCAAAAAGGAAGTACTGAAAGTCGTTGTACTTTCAGTTAAGTGATAGAAACGATTTGACTTGTTGTATGGTGATTAAATGAAGACAGTATTATTATATGATTAGGTGCCAAACTTGTTGTCAAGTATAGAATTCGTCAATTGTTATATAAGAAACCTCGTGAATGGTTATGATGGTGCTGTTGTGCTTCGCATGAGTAACTGATTTTCTTTCATACTGCATTTCATCTCCCTGATTTACTAGGATCATATGTGCACAGCATGCATGTCTATAATCTCTGTCCTTTCATGACAACATGTGTTAGTAAATTATGTGGTAAAAATTATGCAGACAAAAATATCTATAGGTTTGCCCGTAACACTGAAGCGACATCATAGCACCTTCCCAAATAATTGTAAGAAAAATACTACCCAAATATTTGCTAAGGCGATTTGTCTACTTTTTGAGCAGAATGAATGGTTTGATTTCTTTTATAGCTGTCGCGCTTTTAATATATGCACAATCATGAACTCAGAAATCAGTTTCCTAGTCTGCTTAATCATTTCTTGTCGGTGCAACAGTTTTTATGGCATAAAGCTAGCTTATACTCTAATACAAATGTGCTGTTTTATGTGAAAGACATCACTGTAATTTAGAATCAGTTACATTGGAATATATTTGAAAGTATTCATTCATAGCAAGATAAATCATGCTAGATGGAGCAGCAACATTCAAGTTCTTTGTCTGTTTAATGGATAACATTAACACATCGTTTAAAACAGTTCGATTCACCTATGTGTATTCTAGAATGTTAATAAAATAATACTGTCCTTTCGTATTATGATATATGTAATACTTAGGAAAGGATCTAATTAGTTTACGCGCATTCCATTTCGTAATCAGTCATGTGGAAGTTATGAATTTCTACTACAATTTGAAGATAGTAGATGCCTTAATTATTTATTAAACATCGATTATTTGGGTCAGTGGTCAGCAAACCGCTGCTCGGGAACCACATGCAGCTCTTTAGCTACTTGGAAGCGGCTGTGCTAGGAATCGATTCCGACTGCTTGCAGGAGAGAGGAGTATGGTCGGTTTTGGCATGGAACAGGCGGGCGCGGATCATGCGGCGCGAAGGAGGCAGCTAACGCTAGAGTTGAGCGAGAGGAACCTAACGCAGCTTGTCCATCAAAGAATAGAATGCTCACTGCCTGGTAGGCCGAGGCTGCAGATCTCACTGGTATTTTTGGCATTAATTTAATAATTTAATAAATTTTTAAAACTTCGTGTTCCTGCTTTTAATCATATGAAACGGATAGTGTTTTTAGGGGTCACCTATTTGAAGAAGCAGAGAAAAATGGAAGGCGAAAACCGTGAATTTAAAGTTAAATGAACTGAATCGTTCGCGTTTATACAAAATTCAAACGGCCTTCCGACCTGTCTTATTAGCTGAGAAAAACTGGCGCAGAACAAGAAATCAAACTTGGAGAGACAAATTAAACATGCGGCATTTGGCATTAAATATCCCGGTGGTGACGCGAGGAAGAAAGCAGTTGAGGAACATCAGAAGAGTCAAGAAAAATCTCGCTGTGTATTTAATTATTTGCTGAAATCTTCCAACAATGTTAATATTGCAATCTTTATTGTTTGTCAAAAGACTGCTAAGAGAGGGACACATATACAGACGGTAAATACATTAAAAGTTATTTTATAAATGCATCCGAAGCATTTTAAGAGCAAAGCAGAAATTCTTTAAAAAATATTAGAGTTACCACTGTCTGCTAAAACAATAAAAGACAGAAAAGTCAAACTATCTTCGAATGAAACCAAACAGGGTAGCAAATATCTCAAACTGATTTCAGCTTTATCGATATACGTTGAAGAATCTTGTGCATAAATGGCAAAGCGCAAGTATAGCTTTTTGTTTTATTTATTTCCAAAAAGAACTAAGTTTATTGCCACTGAAAGGTCAAATACGTGGCGAAGATATTGCAAATGCTGCCATTGAATGCTTGGAGAAAAATCATATTCCATTCGATGAAAGGTTTTTAATTTCAATAGATGGACACAGAGTATGCCTGAGATGAAGACGTTTTTTTTTTTTTTTTTTTTTTTTTTTTTTTTTTTTTTTTTTAAGGAAAATTTAACCTCGAGATACTTGTTTACCTTTGAATTATTCATCATCTACTATTCATAAAGAAGCGTTCTGCGCGCAGACATTTCCAGGAGAAATTTGCAGTGTTAATGGAATTGGTAATCAAGATTGGCAACGCAGTTGTCGCTAAAGTTCTTTTTAATTTATTAAAGAAATTTTAGTTTAAATGGAGAGTGAATACGCAGATCTTCTGCTGCATAAGGTATCCTGGTTTTTAAAAGGAACCTTTTAAACGTTTTGCTTCCTCATTGTTAGAAATTTAAAGCATCTCTCCTTTAAAAGTATGTTGACTACTCTGAACTAATGAGTCATCCATGGATACAAAAATTTTCTTTCGTGGTAGACATTCCGTTTCTTCTAAATAAACTTAATGGCAAAGTACAAGGGATAGAAAGCACATTTTTATGCTTTGAAAATGTCATTTCATTCGAAACAAATTACGGTTTTGGGTCAAGATTTTGAAAGAGAAATATTAATTCATTTTCCAAGCTTTCTGAAGCATCGCCACGAAAATAATTCGGTAATTGACATACGGAGGTTTCAGGAATTCAATAACTGCACAGACAGACAGAAAGAAGTACAGGAGGCACCAAAACATCGCCATGGGCAAAACTGGTATCGCCCCACTGCACTAACCATCTATAGAAGTGTACCCTGATGCTCGGGAATTAGTCTACATTGCAGCAAGCAGCATTCATAATACACAGTTATATATTAATGGTGCACAATGAGTTGAGTTAGCCTTTGTTTAAAAAAATAACTCTCAGTAAGGACAACAGAATAGCAATTTTCTCCCTTTAACCAGTTCACCGTTTGCCCCGAGAGAGATACGTTCACAGGAAAGGAATCGTCATCCGTTAGCGTCGGCAGACTCTCGTCGGGGTAAAATTTAAGCTGAACCGTAACCCCCGAGACACATACGACGCAGCGACCTTTTTCCAACCCCCACAGAATGAGTCGAAAATCAAAAGGGGTGATTGATGGGTTACTTATCTTCTCAGCGGTGTCGCATTAGGATCACAGCGGGGCTGTTTCAGGAAAGTAAAGGATGGGGACACTTTCTTCGAATAGCTACCCCTCAACCTATCCATGGAGGTAGGAAGTCCTACCTCCATGAAACATATCTGATGAGATCCACAACACACTTTCTCCCTTTTTATTAACGAACAAAGGGATTTGAATGCTATCTTTTCAATTCTTAACGATTCAAATCTTCTCTTTCGTTACAGGCCTATTAAGAAAATAATAAAACAAAATTCAAGAACATTTCAAATACTAGCTAATACCCTTATTTTTACTTTATATAAATCTTTTTCTGGACAATTAAGAATTACATTTACATTGTAATAGATTGCAATAGATTTGGGGTTGGGTGCATTAAGAGGAATTGGGGTTGAGTGCAAAGGGAAAAATATCTGCTCTAAGGTCGAGTCTTTGTGTTTTATGTTGCCCCTTAGGGGGTCGTTATTCAAAATCCTTCAGTGTGACAGCTACGCTGTTCAATCTGATTTGAACAGAACTTCTAAATAGGCTTTCACAGGTTGTCAAAGGGGGAAAGAAATACTCTGAGCTCAGTTTTAGACACAAAAAGTTT